TCAACATTCTATTTTTTTGAGATATATCCATGTTGATGCCTAGATCTCTAATCCACTCATTTTCGCAGCTCTATAGCTATCATTCCATTGCATGACAACATCACAGTAGTGATATGTTTTCCTGCGGGTAGACACTTGGGTTGGAGAAGCAGAATCACTATGTCTGTCTATTAGAGTCCTCCAAGAAGTACATGCTAAGATGGGATGAGATATGCAAGAGATTCCTGTAAATGAGGAGGGAGGTGGGGCGGGAGTAGTCAGGGAGAGCCTTCACTCTATAATGCAGGTCTGACATATAGGAAAGAAGTATGAAGGAAGGAGGACTACGTTAAAAGAGCTTCTGACTATAGTGCAGTTCTAAGAGAGTCTCAGCTAGGCCAATAGGGAGTCTCCAAACAAAAGTTGTCCATTAGAGGTGCCCAGAAATGGCCCAGCCCAGCTCTGATACCCCTCTGTGCTCACTCACTGGCTGGGAGCAGTGACACAATGGAGCTGAAAGTGAGACAGCCGGAGCATTTGTCAACCATGCTCCCCACAGTGGGTTCTCTTTGGAGAGGAGGGGGTCTGAATGGGTCCATATCTTCCCTGGATGCCATACCGTCCATGGGCAGAGAGTAAGCAGATTCTTACTCTGCCTAGGAGACTCTCATTCATTCATTCATCCCCCACCTTAAGGAAAAAAAAAGTGAGATGTTTGAGAAGGTCATCATAAAAGTGTCACAAAGCTAGGTCTGGAAGGACTGTTTCAGGCATCGCTGCAGTCTCAATGAGCCACTTCCATTTGCTTCTCGGTGACCACCCTGAGCTCTGTGGCCCTTGATCTACAGTCAAGTCCCCACGGGGATCCTTGGTAGGGTTTTTGGAGTCATACAGACCTGCATTTCATTCTCATCTCTACCACTTGGTCATTTGTACAAGTCATTTTGATGCTGGAGGACTCACTTTTCTCATCTGTGAATGAAGATAACCAGACCTATCTCAAGGAGTTGTTACAGCGATTACAAGCAGTGATGTTAAATATAGTGTCTGACACACATAGTCATTGCTTGAAAAAACATTAGTTCCTTTCCCTGTCTCTCTAGGCCATCGTTAGGGGTATAGAAGCCATTCTTAGGTACAATCATTTTTCACAAACTGAGAAATGTTTACAAACTTAGAGCCTAGTTCTGCAAACCCCAGCTATCTACAGCAATCGCGGTGAATCGAAATGATCTCCACTGAACCTTCTTGTTCACACCCATCACTCTTTCTAAAGCAGCATTTGTGATTAATCTCACTCTAGGGCTAAATCGGTCCCAAGCGCTTCCAAGGCACTTGATAAAGAAGCTCTCTGATTTATAGCAAACACCATTATTGAGCGGTGGCAGGGAGAGGCCACGGGGGGATTTGTCTTGCTGGTAACTGTCCACTGGAGCCATTTCTTCCATTTTCCTAGATAAGGGCTTAATTTATTTCAAAGTAGATGAATGGGCCCCATTTTTGGTTCCCTTGGTGGGATACGAAGAAGAGAGCAGTTGGACAATTTTTTAAATAAAGAGTAATACTTAATATTTTAAATTAAGGAAGCTCTTTACAGACATCAGGATTCGGCATAAGACTAGGCATATAGCAGGTTCTCAATAAATGTTTGTGGAAGTATATCATCATCTCATTTAATCCTCACAGTGAAGTACAGCAAGTCCATTCTTCCCATTTGAGAAAGGCAGAAAGTGGGGTTCACAGGTAAAAAACGGCAGAGCCAGAACTCTAACGTAGACCCAGACCTGACCTTCACCAGTCACCACACCATCGCCCTCGGTAGTCCAGGAGCTGAGCCACCATACCTAGTGCTTGAGCACAGGCACCTAAGATGCTACCTCAGAGTGAAAGCCTGGGCAGCCAAGGCTGTACATTCTTTTTCATCGAGTCTTTGGGTCCATTTGGTTCTAGTCCAGAACATTTAAGGAACATCTGCCTCTCCTTACGGCTCCTCTTTCACACTTTTACCTATTCTGAGCCTGGCTCTCCTCTCTAACAAACCTTATGGATGGTCGTTTTGTCTTTGCTTGAACATTTCCCGTGACTTGTACATTTCCGGTAACCAAAAGCTCCATACCCAGTGGAGCTGTCCATGGTTGAGAGCTCTTTTTACCTGATTGGGCCAGCATACTGCCCAATAATGCAATTCCCTGGATCTCAGACTTAGTTAGTTAGTCCCAAGCAGAATAACAGCCATGAAATGCTTAGGCTCAGGAGACCTAGTTTGAGTCATGCCCTTTCCACTTACTTTGTGACACTGGAAAAGTTATTTAATTCATTAGTAAAATGGAACCAATAACATTTTAACCGAGCTCGACCAGGGGAGCACTGTCTGTCTGTCCATGTGTCAAAGGGGCAAAAGGTGAGGAGGGCTCTCCAACTTGCTGGGACATTTGAAATACTACTTTAAAGGAGAGAACTTACCAGCAGAGGACAGAGCACCAGGGCAGGTAATGCCTGGCTCTTAATGTATTTTGAGTAGAAAACAGGAGACTGTTGAAAAACCCATCTTATATTTATCTGTTGCATTCTCTGCCTTACAAAGTAATCTCCTAAATAATTTGAGGCTGGGCGAGAAGTGTATCTCCTCTCAGATTTTGGCCCCAATTTGCTTTTGTAAATCAAATCATCTTTGGAAATTAAGTGGACTATAAGCCACAAGGTTGAGAGGGAAAGAAAAATAGCCAGTAGTGATCAGTTACCATGTGCTAGGCCCCTACCTGCATAAGACCACTACCTCCTCACAGGTGCTCTGGGGGAGGCTGACATTACGGAATATTTGGTAGGGGTGAAATTCGCTCTGGAAAGTGAAGTAATTTAACTAAGGTCTATCTGATTTGAAAGATATTTCCCCACATCACATTTTCACCCATTATAAACCAACCAGCCAGCCAAAAAGCCAACCTACCAACCCCTAACACCTCCAGATGGCATTAATCTGGGGTCTACAAGCTTGAAAGGGTGAAGTAGTCCAAACCATGAGGTCTGTCTTTGGGCTCCAACCTCTTCATTTCTACACAAAGTGGGACAGTCATAGCCACTCACAGAACTGTTGCAGGCATCACACCAGCTCATGCATGTTAAGTGCCTTCAGGGCCTGGTTTGTAGGAGGTCTTAGGAGCAAACCATGGCCCTTATTACTGCTCTGGTCACTGATCATGTTGTTAGAGGCTGCATCTCCAGGGCAATCGGACCTGAATGAGCCTGCAGAGCACGTCTGAGCACTGAGGAGGCTTCTCCAAGACCGGCTTATCTTCCCACTCTGCTGCTTTCACATGTCAGCTCCCGACAGATTGCTGTGTGCGGACGAGGCCATGAAGTCTGGCTGTTAAATAAGCTCCTTCTCCTGGATGAGCAGTTACGTGTGTGTAAACACCACTTCATGCCTGGACTATGATTTACAAGTCAAAACTCCGCTGCATGGGTGGCTATGAGGTCACTGCGATCCAGAGCCTATGAATCATAGATAATAGGTTCAAAGCGTGAGGCTGCTCTAGGCCTGAAAGGGAAATGATTAGCTATTGTACTCAGGCATGTTTATTGCTATTTGAGCATCAGGGGATCACTTTGCATGTCACCATCATTAGAAGAGGTGGTACTATGAAGGGACAATAAGCAACTCATGCCCAATACCATAGTTTACAAGCCCATTTATACCTGAGCTGACTTATTACTTCCTCAAAACAACCTGGAGAGCTAAGGATTATTAGCACTATTTGCTGTATAACCATGAGCCAGTTATTTCACCCCTCTGAACTTCAGTTTCTTCACCTATTAAGTTAGGTTGCTCTTGGTATTCAATAATAATAATAATAATAATAATAATAATAATAATAATAAAGTTTGATAACTAACTTCACAGTTTGGATTCCCCCAAAAGCAGGCCCTTAGGCACTAGGTAAGGAAGGCAGGCACCGGGTGGTTTATCTGGCAGTGATCTCAGGCAGCACGCATGAGGAAGTGGACAGAGAGAAAACAACCAATGTAGTATGCACTAATGAGTGCTTTAAAACTCTGAGGGGTCCCACTGGGGAACCTCGGACAAACTGTGGAACACACCCTAAAATCACCTCAGGAGGATGAGACATTTATCTACTCACTCCCCCACTGGTTGGGGGGCAGGGGGCAGTTAAGCCCCCCACACATCTGGGGATGTCCCTTCTCGTGGCTGGGTGACATCCTGTGGTGCCCGAGACATCTCTCAGGAGAGAAGAAATAAGTGAATACTAGTAGGGTTAGTGAGTCATTGGAGAGTGCAAACTGGTGGGATTTTTCTATACCCTGCCATGGAGTGGTTGTGGGTAGAGCTGAGGCTTATAGAACCCTGAGTTGGGGGGGGGGAGGTGTAGAATATCCCTGGGTGAGTGGGTAAGACTTTACCTTTGCTATATTATTAATAAAGTTCACTCCAAAACCAACTCAAGCATTCAAATAACTCCCATGGCTTGTTTGTATTCATTCATGTATACACATTCAGTCACTCATTGGACTTGAATTCATTGAGCACTTACTATGTGCCAATTTGTGTCTGATGGCTTCTGGGCTTTTGTCATGAACACTTTCAGTTCATTGGTTGGCTCCTTGTAAGAGATGAGTGTTGAGAAACGGTGTTTGAAGATGTGATCCGGAGAGTTGCAGGGGTTACGGAGCAGGAGAAAAGCCTTGGGCACTGGAACAAAGGAAGGACCCCAAATAAATGTTTCCCAAGTTGCCCTGACAATTGCTCTCAGGCTGTGTGTGTGAACGTGCTGAAGTCGGTAAAAGCTTTTTGAGTCTCCCTAGTTGAGTTCCTGGACTATCTGTATGACCTTAGCCAAGTTACAGGGCCCTGTGAGCCTCCATTTCCTTATCCTCAAACTGGGGGAAACCCATACCTTGAGGAGCCGCCGTGAGGATTAAAAGGGAAGAAAGATTGTGGTATCTTATCCTTAGCTCCAATTCTCCAAGTCCATCGAATCTAGAGAATGGGCTGGCCATTCCAGGAAAAAGTTGACTTTATTTCTCTTGATTTGAGCATCAGAATCAGGAACACTCTCTAGTGTTCTCTACAAGCATTAGGGGATTAATAGAATAACTAGGTTAAAGGTACATACACTCATAAACCAGATTAAAATAAAACGTGCTACAAAGAAGTTTCCCCTTTTCTCCCACTTGAGTAAGAACAGTTCATCATCAATTCTGGGCTGCATCAGATCAGGCAAATGGCCTTGCATTTGGAAATGACCTCTCCTAACACTCACAGGCCAGACTAAGCAATGCTGGAATATAGAAACATCATGGGTGCAGCACTGCAGATGTTGTAGAAAGCATATAGACATTACTTAAAAGGATGCTGGGAAGTAAGTAGGGCAAATGTTACTGTCCCATGTCCCCAGATAAAAGAGTAAGACTAGTCTCGCTGCCCTTGATTCTCTGAGGGCTACTATAACATCCGAGGGGAAGAGCTGTGGAAAAAATTATATTCAACCTATTTTTTTTCTGTGCCAAGATAAGGTACTTTAAAAAATATATCCTTAACTATAGGATAACAGAACCCTTAAGTAGACCATCCATCATTCCTAACCTACAAAAATATGGTTATACTATAATATATTGGTCAAAATTAATACATGTAAATTTTCTTTTCTTTTATATTCTGAAGAGAGAAAAAAAGCAAATCTGATTTTCGACCCATGCTGCATAGGACGAGGCCCAGGCCCCTCATAATCTATAAAAATGGTATTGGGAATCTGCCAGGTCTGCTTTGCAGTTCAAAAAGCCTAACTAAAAATTTTGTATTTTCTCTCACATAATTAGGCTACCCAAACTAATTAAAATCACAAATTTTCCTTTTGGGCTGGAATTTTTGGAACTTCACATGATGAACAGAACTCCTGATAGGTCTGTGATGATATCACAGAAATTCCGAGATCTGCAAGCAGGCGCCCACTGACATACGCCCCCCCATACCCAACTAGCTCAGCTCCTAACTGCCAGCACAACAAGAGATCATGGTTATGAGAACCTGGTCACGAGTCTACTCCAAACCTTCAAGACAGAAAACATTACGGGGTAAAAGTCCATGCACAAAGAGCCAGGGAATGTAAAAAGAGTCCCTGGTGGTTAAAGGCGAGGAGCCACTGGCCTCACTGTGAGGACTGTTGATTTTCCGGTGGAAGTTGGGGAGCAAGGGGTAAGGGTAGAACACCAATAGGATTTTTCTAGTAATGAAGTAAGAGATATTTCTCACCACAGATTAAGAAACTCTCTAGAGCCTAATACAAACACATTAACAGATGATACACAGGAATTTTATCTTTCATGTATGTGAACATAAGTGAATGGTAATTTTTACCACCTGCCCTAGAGCATTAAAACGAGTGCTTTTAAATAAGGGGACAAAGGGTATTAGCCCTGCTATTTACAGGGTGAAGGGAAATGAACACTCTCCATTCCCACCTCCTTTATGAGATCTGCCCACTGCAGTGGCAGTAGATGAATGAAGAGCACAGACCTTGGAGTCAGAAGACAAGGGTCTGAATCTCAGTTCTGCCGTTACATGCTGAGCAGTGCTGGGCACACAGCTGCTTAATATCCTTGTGCTTCGTTTTCCAGCTGAAAAACGGAGGCAGTACTTCCCTCTCCAAAGAACGTGGTATTGCCGAAAGAGCACTGGATTACAATCAACGCATTGGTTCCTCCCAGCCCCAGTTCTGCCATTTACCTGAAGTGCACACTTGGATGACTTGCCTAATTCCTCCAGCTTTAGTTTTCTCCCCTAGGAGCCAATAACACCACTTGTCCTTCAATCTCATAGGTTGATTTTGAGGAAAGGAGATAATTCAGGTGGTGGTGGGGAGGTGGATATCTTGTAAGTGGTAAAGCAAATAGGTTCATGCAAATGTATTATCATATCAATGTGAAACTCAGGCTACGTTTTTGTGCTCAGATTAAATGTCACTTCAGAGCAAATCTTCAAGGAATTGTTGTGTCTCTCAGCCTGTTGACAGAGGATAAGTGGTAAGGGGTTTCTAGTCGTTACTTAGTCGAGTCTGTGGCTGCCATGTCTCCCGCCATCCTCAGCAGCTGTTGGGTGGTGTTGGCTGTACCCATCCTCAGCATAATCCCATCCCCACCCTGCAGTGGCTCCTGGGGTGCTCCTCAGAGGGTGCAGGTGGTGTTGAAGGCTGTTTCAATAGTGCCCAGGTGAGTCACTCCTCCCACCTGGATGTGAAGGAATCACATACGCCAGGAGCTGCCCACAGCCATCTTGACATCATCTGAGAAGAGTGAAGGCAGAGCTGAGAACAACTGCAGAGAAAAGAGCCATTGATCTGCCAATCTCATGGTCCTCCACTAAATTGTATCCAAAGCCAGTGTCCTCCCCGGCTTTTCTGTTAGATGAGGCAATACATTCTCTTGATTGATTTTGAGTTGCTTTTTTTTTTTTTTTTTTTTTTTTTTTTTGCTGTTCTTGCAAGTAATATAATCTAAAGGAATAGACCGTGAGCAAGTCTCATCAACCCTCTAAACGTCATTTTCCTGATCTATAATGAGGGGCAAAATAACCCCTGTCCTATACAGGGTTGCAGTGAGGCTCAATAGTGCTTGAAAAGTGCTTTGCACAGAGCTTGGTACAAAGAAAGCATTCGATAAATTGTGGCTATTTTTAGTTTGGTGTTCCAGACATTGTGCTAAATGCTTTAGTACATCATTCCCCTTAATCATCACGTATGACCAATCTTATGAGGTAGGATTTATTACCCCCATTTCACAAATGAAGAAATGAGGGTTAGGGTTTAAGTGATTTGCCCAGGGTCCTGTGGCTACCAAGAGGTAGAAATGTCACAGAGTATGAGTGTTTCTTTTTTAAACCTTTGAACAGATGATTGATGTTGACTATACAGTATCAGTAAAATATTAATTGGTGCCTGTAATGTGCTGAAAAGTGTTAGGTATTAGGGACATAGCCATAAATATACATGTTCTCAATGAGTTTAGTTTTAGAGGATACAGTCTTACAACTATCTGTATTATAAGAGATATTAGATTGAATGTGTGCCTTGGATTTACTGGCATCATGCTCTTAAACACTGAGCTAACAACATCTGCATCCTATGAACACATGAAAAGCAATTAAGTTATGCAACTAAATGCAGAACATACAGACGTCATTTCCATATACAGCTTAAAATACGTGCACACACACTACATCCCAATTGCTATTTACTTTCTCCTAAAATCCTGAGCTAAAATGTTACTTTTTTTTTTACATTTATTGATTCGTGTTGTTGTTGGGTTTAAAACAAAACAAAACAAAAAAAAAACTTCATATGCACTATTAAGGTATTTTCTCTCATTTTCTTTCTGACATGATGTCAACTTGCATATGTTTTCAAGGATTCTGAACAATACTATTAGATGTGATAATACGATGGAAGAAACCAGCCTAGGGTCCCCACTGCACTGTTGTCCTTGGGAAATCTACAGGGAAATCTAATAGTATGTTTTACTGTTTACCTGTAAGTGACATTCTCCAGTTGTCTGTACATGTTACCAAGTGCCTGGGTAAGAACTCCAATCTCTGGGACTGTAAAGAACAACTATATGGAGAACAGTTCATCTGAATCCCCTCCTTCCAAGTGTTGCCCTACATGATCAAGAAATTCTTTACAACCAACCTATATAGTAAGCCCTGAAAAACAAATAGGCTCTGAGCTTGTCTTCTTAACAACTAGGTAAATACTTTGCCTAAGAAAATGTAATAGCGTCAGGACACTCCCAAATGAGAAGTCACAGGCTTTCCACAGGCAGGAGAGGGGTTCCTCTCTCCTTCCCTGCCTCCCCCGGGTTTCATGGGCATTTGCACAGAAGGGTCTGGGAGAAGGACATGGAGACTCACCTGCAGAAAGAGGTGTTTACCTGTATTGAAGCCCTACAGTGAGGAAGCTACCAAACAACTGAGAACAGAGTTTGCTTCTTGTCTTTTGCTAGATTAGTTTTTACAAATCTGCGAGTCACAGAAATGGACAGACGACTATAGTCAGACAGGTCTAGCTTTGCTCTTTCTAGCTGAGAGACAGTGGGTATATTATTTAACCTTGCCAAGCCTGTTTCTCATTATAAAATGAGAATAACAAATTTACTTTATAAGGTTGTGGAATAAATGGGCTCAGTAGGTGTTCAACAAAAGATAGTTTCTTTCCCTTTTATGAAATCTCTAAGAAACTACTTAATATAATGTGTTTCAAGCGAAATGTTTCTCTTAGGAATATAGCCTCAACATCACTAGACTTCACCAGTTTGGAAATATAAATAATATTATATAAATAAGAACACATTTAACAAACTTATTTTCACATTTATGTAATACTAGTGACTGGGTGCACGGATTCATGCACATTAACAGGAAATTAATTAGAAGGTGGCCGAGATGGGCCGGACACACCCTGGAGCTTCCCCAACATCGCGGAGTGAGCGGGGTCCCTCCGGCAGGTGGAGCCCCTTGGCCTGGCCTGCAGGGATCAGGCCAAAACTGGGTTGAAACCGGCTCTCCGACATCCCCCGAGGGGTCCCTAAGTGCAAGAAGGCACTCTACAAAGTTGCTGTCATACAAGGTGTGGAACGCAAATGCAAGTGTGCAGTAAACCAGATTCGGGACCGACAGTGCCCCAGCAACAACATAACCCATGGCCAAAGGTGGAATCGCACGGCCCCACAAGGAACCAGGCTCCCTCCTCTCTGGTTTCAGGGTGCGCCATCGGAGAACTGCCACTGCCAAGTCACTGCAGCTCAGCAGCTCCTGCATTGAACGTCTGCCCCCTGGTGGTCAGTGCGCATCATGCGACAGGTCGAAGGGTAGGAGGGACACTTAGCATATTAGCCTTTTATATGTATAGATAGTAATTTCTGAGTGTATATTTCCAAACTGGTGAAGTCTAGTGATGTTGAGGCTAGGAATGTGACTTGTGCTATTCCCTCAACATTGAGCTGGGAGCTGGCTGCTCAAGGGGTTCAACCTAGGGGCACAAATGTCTCCTGCCTCTCCTGATACAACCCTCCACCGGGAGCTGCTTCCCTTGAGAACCTGAGACTCCCAAACTGTTGCATCCTCAAGGAGCCAAAATGACATGACTTTCCCTTGAGATGCCAGGGCACCAGAAGCACACTGTGTCTCCCAGGAAAGGACCCTCCCTCCCCTTGTGTTCCTCACTCGGACCACAAATAAAATCACTTCTGTTTTCCTATGAACACAGCTTCTTCAGCTTCTGCCTGTAGTCATTTTCCCATGCTGTCCATAGTAAGGACCAGGGAATTCTCTCTCCCAAAGCCCCTATTCCATATACTCTACCCCAATGCAAACCAATCTCTCTAAACAGGTGCTTGATTGTCCAGCTCCCAGTCTATCCTAACCATCCAGACTCTGACAACCAGTTTAGGCTCAGCTGGAGTCCTCTCTACATAACAATTACTCCGCTTTCTGGTTTCTCTCCACTAGAAGTCTGCCTTCTAAATCAAAAGCAAGCGTGAAACAGAATAAAATGTGTACTATAAATTTATTCTGCGACATATTTTAAAATAAATTAGAATACATCAATATTTCATGAAAAATATCTAGAAGAATTTAGGTAATACCTGTAATATACATGATTTGACGGTGAATATCATTTTTTTCATTTCAAACATTTTCCTCAAGTAATGTAAAGTGATAAGGATTGCTATATTCTTCATATATCCGTTGTCTCACATATTTCAATTCAACTGCTAGTTCTTTCTTAATTATTTATGCTCCTGATGTTTGCTTCTGTTTTCCAATGGGAAGAGGACCCACTTTCTGTTTCTCAGCAGTGGTATTTAGGTCCTTTTTCTCTGATTCTTTAAGAAAATCCTTCATGGCGAGTTTGAACACTAATCGAGGGTCTGGTTCAGAAAGTGGTGGGCAATTGCAGGTCTCTCTAATTTCGAGAGCCTATAGAGAAAGAATACAACAGAATACAAAAAGAACACAAAGCAAATATATACATAAATTTATTAACATTATCCCAATAATTCTTAAAATACTCTATGCAAAATAATAAAATATAAGAATACACCCTTTATTTTTAATAAAAGAGAGCTTAATGACAACACATAAAAGAGAACCACAGACAAATTCACAGTAAATAGTTACATTTTCACAAGTTGTTCACATAATAATAGTATATTTGGAAAAAACAACAGCATCTGCCGTGACCGCCCAATGTCCCACTGGGAATAAACAAGATCTCTTTGGTTCCAGTCAAACCAATCCTGACGAGCATTCAGATTAGAAAAGATATGAAGACTCTGAGAGACTGTTTTCAAGAAAGATAAAAAAAAACAAAAGCAGAAAACAGATGTCTGAGCATACTGAAGGGAGGGATACATAACTGGGGCCTTTGCCGTGAACCTGAGGCTAACAGCCTAGGTAAGGGAGTCACCTAAGCAAAGCAAGTCATGACTATTTTAACTCCAGAAAAACAGAATGCCACGAGAAAAGGAAAGGAAAGGAATCCCAGTACACACATGGCTCAGCGGTTACTAGGGTGCACAGTATTAGACAGAACGTGAGAGCACCACGTGCCACACCAGAAGGGGAGCAGGACACCTGTGCGTGCTGCACAGGGTGTGACAGTGACTGGGGCGGCGGGGAGGGTGAGGGGATGGGGAGCTTGATGCTCATCCTCTGGGGAAAGGGAAACGGATGATGCCTGAAACGGAAAGTTAGGAAGTAGTGCTATGTAGGATGATAGGAAATATAAAAAGAATACTTTAAGAAAGTTGAAACTGAAGGCAGGGTAGGAGGGCTGCTGCTTTAAGGAACTAGCCTTAGAAAAATATGTGATTCTTTAAATTAGGTCCATGGATGACTGTAACACATAAAAACTAAAAAAAAGGGGGGGGGAGGGGGGAATGTCTTAATATCTAAAGCGTTTTAAAAGAAACATATTTAGGGTAAAAAAACTAGTTTCATTTTCTAAGTATTACCTCTAACTTTTTTATAGTGATGCATGTTACAGGAAGTAAATAAAGCAGGGAGGGGCAGTCAGTGCTTGGGGGAGTAACAAGGTCTTAGAAAGACTGGCCAGGCAAGCTCTCGTTGATAACATCATGACATTGAGAAGAGGGGGAAAGACCTGAGGCCATGAGAGACCAGGCCATGCGGTACCTAGGAAAGGAGTGCCCCGGCAGGCAGTGGCTGCAGCAACAGCAGCGGGGAGCCCAAGGATGTGCACTGGATGGGAGATGCCTGAGTGCTGGGAACAGGGAGGGAGCTGGTACAGCTGGGGCAGAAGGGATCTAGCAGGTAGGAGCAGATAATTTAGGGTCTGTTAGGGCATGGTAGGTTTTACTCTGAGCAGGCCTGCCCCAGGTAACTGTGGGGTCCATGTGGGGTACTCTATCTGAGCAGATAGAGGCTCAGATACCATGTGTTTAAATATCTAACAGCTGTAAGTCAAACTAATGAAGTACTACATAACATATGTTCTATTCTCCCACACTTTCAAAACGACCCTGAAGGCCAGGTCCCAAAATTAGAATTCTTGAATTTTGTTACATTTAAGTTTGTGGGGAGCCTACCCCAGCTCCTGCCACTGGCCTGCTGTCCACTCCCTTCTCCTCCCTTCCCCGGCTCACCTGCACTGTGAGGGATCTTGTGTGCGTGCATCCAAGAGAGGAGGTCCGCACAGGCCCTGGAAGCAGGCTCAAAAGTGTTTGGGCAAGGAATTCCATTACCTTAAGACCCAGAGTGCCCCATGGTGGGGCACAGGTTCTTAGATGGGTATATTCCCTAAAGTTCAACAGAATAGGGGAGCAGGCAGCCAGAGGCAGCCAGAAAGGGGTCTTGTAAATGGATGAAGTCAGAGCAGGAACTTGAGTCTAGCACAGCCGTGGGCAAACTACGGCCCGTTTGAAATGAATAAAACTATTGAAAAAAAAGACCATACCCTTTTATGTAATGATGTTTACTTTGAATTTATATTAGTTCACACAGACACTCCATCCATGCTTTTGTTCCGGCCCTCCGGTCCAGTTTAAGAACCCATTGTGGCCCTCGAGTCAGAAAGTTTGCCCACCCCTGGTCTAGCAGCACTTTTGACTACAAATGAGGCTATGAGTTACCAAAATAAAGTAAAGGGGAAAAAGCATTCAAGTGAAATTCCTTGGTAGTAGTGTCTTGTCTCAATTTTCCTTATATTTCACCTCTTGCATCTATTGTGTTAAATAAATGTTCCTTAAAGTAAACTGAACTAAAAAACACACACACACACACAAAAAATAAAACAAGAAAATGTTTCCCAAATATAGCACTAAAGTAAAAAGAAAGGAAGACCCTCGGCTAAATGGTGACCTACCTGGACCAGAATACCTTTGAGAGTGAAAGGAGACGCTACTGAGATTTACACTGAGTCATAGGCATAAACTGAGACTATCCTGGCAAAGTCAGGACACCCAGTCTATTCTGCTTTAACTCCTTTATAACCACACTGACATATTTTTCCAGGTGAGAAGCCAATCTCTCATGGCAGTTACGTCACATGCCTAAGGCCTTGACTGGTATCAGTAAGGGGAATCAGGGAGAGCCCAGCAGGAAAGAGCTGGCACAACTGAGTTTAGCCATGGGAGATGCAAAGCACAAAGGGAAGACAGAATGTCATCTCCTAGAATCTTTAATATTCAGTAAAAGCTCTTCTCTTTCCCTTAAGTTCTCTTTTCAATCTTTTCACAGTTAACATTTAGACCACCACCGTGAGCAAGGTGCTAGGGACACACTGATCAGAAAAGACAGTCATGATCCCTGCCTCTCGCAAATTACTGGGCATTTGAAGTGTTTTGTAGTGTTGATTGGCTTTTACAAATTACCCTATGGAAAGCTTTATTTAAATAAAGGATGTTATTTTTAACCTCCACTTGAAGTCTGCCCCCAAAGTAGAATGATCTGATCAAAGAGTAAGAACAGATTATAATTTGTGTTAGATAGGACCAAACTGCTTTCTGCCAGAAAGACTTCACCAACTTACAGTGTCATCAGCATGCAGGCAAACCTGAGTTATTATAATTTGTAAAACAGTATTCCATGATTTTTTATCTATATAACCACATAATTTCAACCTCAGCATCCTTAGCATGCATCAGATAAATTTACAAATGAGGAGACTCAGACCCAGAGAGGTTAAGTGACTGGCAAGGAACAAACACCTGCTCAGCGAATGTTTATAGCAGCTTTATTCATAATTGCCAAAACATGGAAGCAACCAAGATGTCCTTCAGAAGGTGAACAGAAAATTTGTGTTACAGCCAAACAATGGAATATTACTTAGCGCTAAGACGAAATAAACTCTCAAGCCATGAAAAGACAGGGAGGAATCTTAAGTGGGGGGGAAAAAAAAAAGCAAATCTCTAGGTTACATATGTATGATTCCAAGTACATGACATTCTGGAAAAAGTGAAACTATGGAGATAGTAAAATAATATCAGTGATTGTCATGGGTTATGACGGACAGAGGGATGAATAGGCAGTGCATAGAGCACTTTTAGGGCAAGGAAACTACTCTATACGATACTATAATGATGAATACATGTTATTACACATTTGTCAAAATCCACAGAATCTACACCAGCAAGAGTGAGCCCCAATGTAAACGATGGACTTTGGGTGATGATGTGTCAGTGCAGGTTCACTGGCTGCAGCAGATGCACCTTCCCGGGCAGCACTTTCACGGTGGGAGACTGTCTACACCAAGGCAGGCAGGGGTTATATATGGAAAATCTCTGCAACTGCCGCTCAATTTTGCTGTGACACTAACATTGCTCTTAAAAATAAAGTCAATTTAGAAAAGCTGGCATGGAAGTAAAAAGGCTTTGAAACAATGGATTATAACCTGCTTTTGTTGTTGTTTTCATTTGTACTGCATTTGCGCATGATTTTGTTTTAATATTTTTTTGGCACCACATTATACATTTCTTGTATAAGTCTCTTATGGAATAAATGTAGTTTGGAGATGCCTGAGCTACATTAATTACTGGAAAAACTATGTTCTTCATAAAGGCATTCTATTAATATTTCTTCATGTGTGAATGTTTCTCTCCTCCAACTATCAAGCAGAGTCCTATTATGGCCCAAATACATTTCTATCAAATCTTCGTCTATTTTGCATAGAAAGATTTTTATCAGCCATATTTTTTCTGCTTTTTAAACATTTCTTTCCATATTTATTTTATTATATTTCGGGTGTCAACATCTTTTATTTTCATAAATGCAAATCCATCTTATTAAATATACCTTCACCTCTTTAAAAGTGAGCAACATTTTCCCACTGTACAGCTAGAATATGCCTTTCCATTTTACCTTGTTTTCTGTGTTTAACTTCATGCACTGCACATAATAGGCACTTAAATGGATGCTGAATTTTAAACAAGCATTTATAGAACACAAGCTATGAATAAATCATTATGACAAATGTCATAAGAAAAACACTCTTAAGAGTTTACAGTCTAAGAGAAGGCAGGAATGTACTCCATTAACAAGAATATACAGCTCTAAGAATCTCAAGGAAGACTTGGAATTAAATATGGAATTGGCCTAAAGATTCCAACCAGAGGGAAAAGAACCAACATTTACTGTTCACTTTCGCTGTGTCTTGCATGGTGCCAGGTATTTTAAAATGTTATCTAAACTGGTGCTATCATATGAACCACTTTTGAAATGTTGATCCTGGTGTAGAATACTTATCATTAAGTGTCTTATGAGGAAAGGAGGGGAGGAAAGAGAGAAGGAGGCAGGGCCTCACTACCACCAATGCATAAGAATGTGCATAAAACACCCAGGAGACACTGCTATCTCAATTTGACAGGTGAAGCAAAATGAAGTTTAGGGTAGATAACTTCCTTAAACTTGTGTGGCTGGGTCAGAATTAAAACCCAGGACTCCTAAGACTACTATTTTTA